AGACCAATCGGGATAATAAACTAGGAAGACGAAGGTGGACTGGCAAGGTGGACGGAGGGAAAGGGCTAAGGCACAGGAATGCCGAATGCGCCGCATGGTGCCGAATGCGCCCCTCTTTTGCCCTCTTCGCAGCTGCGACCTGCACTTGGAGCGGGTGGACGCGGTGCAGGCGAAGCTGGCTCCCCGGGGAAGGGCCGCCCTGTCTGCACCTGCCCCCCCACCCCCGGGCGAGTCCACAAAAACCCAGAGCACGCGGCGGGCTCGCCCCGGACGGTGCGCCGCCCGCAGGTGCGAGGCAAACGCTTTTGGAAGCAATTCGTCTTCGGTTCCCCCGGCCACCCAGGCCGGCGCCTGCCCTGGGGGCGGAGGAGCTCTGCCCCGGTGGCGGCGAGGTCACCCAGGTCGCGCTCCCAGACCCGAGGACGCCGCTCCCGCCTGGCCCCTCCTGGCTCTGTTTTTCCGCGAGGATGGATCGCGGCCAAGTGAGGAAACCACTCGAGTAGGTCCTGCCTCCTCTTCTCAGCCCCGATTTCTCTTCTCCCCTGGACGCGGACATGGGGCCGCTCAGTGCAGAACTTCGCCCCTCACTCGCTCCACCTGCCTGCTCTTTGTCTGGGTTACAACGTTAATCCATCTCCCTGAGCGCCCCGAGACTGCGGCTTCCCAGGCGGGCTCCCCTCCGCCCTCTCCGATGTAGGCATGGGAACCGAGGAGGCCCGAGCAGCGAGCCCCTCGGGCGCCGCGGCCCCCGCCGCCCCGAACGAGGCACGGCCGCGCTCACCAGGGTTTCCCCAAATTACCTCTGACTGGTGCGCAGCTCGGGCCGGATGGTGGGACAGGATCCTCGCGGAGGGAGGGTCCGAAGCCCCAACGGGCGAGGCCCAAATCTGCCAGCGGGACCAACCAGTCTGACCTGTAAAAGTTGGCCCGCGCCGGACTACATTTTTATGACTCAGGGAAAGAGGCTTGCGGTGTTGGAGGCTGCTGTTTGAATATCTGTATCGGAATCTGATGAAATTTCAATCTCTCTGTATATTTTCCCCCCTTTTAACCTCCCCTGGAACCACAAGAAAAGGCAAGGATGGTAAGAAGAGCAAATCGCAGTTCCAGAGTTGAAGAGAACTCCCGGCTGGGAAATGGGTTTACTCCATCCTTAAGATACAGCCTGCAAGAGTTTAAGGTTGGGGGCGAGGAGTCGGGGCGACCAGGGCAGGGAGAACTCACCCCACGCAGGAGCACCCGGAAGGGAAGAAGGCTAGTGAGGCGTCCTGAGACGTCCTTTGCCCAGATCCTACCAAATACAAAACCAAACAGCCTTGCCCACAGCTTCGGGGTCCACGAGAGCTGCAAGATAGATTTTTCTTAGGACACAAGTAAGAGATGGATGACCTTCGCCCTCGGCCTGCTTCCCATTCACCATCCCTAGTCTGGACCGGGCCAATCAGTCCTTCCTCCCGCGGGATTGGGCCGCTCTCCAGCCAACATTCTCGGATGTCCGTTTTCCTTTCCTCGGTACCCCGGGATAAGTCTACTTGTGAGATGGGCCAAAACCGAAAGCAAGGGGCAGATAAAACGCCGCACCCCCACAATGTCCCTCATTGTTCCTAAACGTCTTGGCCAGCAAGAGGGGCCAACAGGACTGGAACCGCTGGATTCAGGGAGAAGAGAGGTTCAGAGGAGGAAGCTGAGAGGTCACCGCACCCAGCGCTGCCCAGGGTCAGGCGCTGTGGGGACTCCGGCCTTGGCAGCCCTGAGGGACACAGCGAGCACCACCCAGACAAAGACAGGCTGTGTGGGGAACAAGAGAAACCAGCTACCCTAAATCGTGGGCCAAGTAGCCGGGACCCATCAACTTAGAACAAGGTCGTTTCCTGAACCCGTCTGCCCACACCCACAAAACAATGACCTCCTCTGGTGCTGGATGTGACTGAGGAGCAAGGAGCCAGGGTTTGAGTTCCTTAGAAAACACTGACCTGAAGCAGGAGGGGGCGCTGCCCAGGCGACCAGTCCAAGCTTTAAGTGGGGTGGGGGTGGGGGATGTTTTATTTCTCTACCCTAAATTGCTCTTGGATTGCTCCCAGCCTCCTCCTTCCAGATTCTTCCAAGCTTCTTGCTCAGGCCAATGCCCCTCAAAGGGATGAAGACTCCCAGCTTGTCCCAAGAGAGCCTGAACCCAGCACATCCTGATCAGGTGACCCAGGGGCTGTGGGAGAGAGGCCGGGACCTGCTCTGCAACCTCCAAGCGGTGAAGCAGGGGGACAGGGAGCGCCATAGACCAGGCCGCCCAGGAGCAAGCATTGTGTGTGTGGTGGAGGTGGGGGAGGGCTGGGGAGTATGGGAGCGGATAGGGTGTAAGGAAGAGGACTGCCGAGAGAGAAATGATTACATAACTTAGTGATGTTTTCCTGAAGGGAATGCGCCTAAACCAAGCGCTCAAAGCAGAAGACCAAACTGGATTCCAACCCCTACAATGCCCCTAGAGGCCAGGGCACCAGAGGCACTGAAGTAGGGGGATCTCTAGACCTGTGCTCCATCTGTGGTGGCTCAGGGTGAAGAAGCAGAAGGTGGCCGTGGTGGGGATGGGGGGATGGGTAAGCCTTCCAGTTGGTGGTGTGGAGGGACCCGTGTTGGAGAGCTTTTCTCTTCTCCAACCCCCCCCCCCAGGTTTAAACACCCACATCCCAGGATTACCCTGCTCCCTCCCTGAGGCCCAGGGGCATGTCCACTTCTACATGGAACTTTTAGGTTACTGGGTCCTACATCCCAAGAAAGAGAATGCTTGAATATATACGCCAGAGGGGACTAGCCCCCCTCCTTCCCTCCACCCCCAGTTCCCAGCACCAGCAGCTTAATAGCCAGAAGCCAGATCTGCTGCAATGGGTGAGAGAACAATCCACATACATCCCCAAAAGAAAAAAAAAAAAGCTGATCCCAATCTCCAAGGGGATTGGTGCCCTCAATTTTGGCCAGTGCCGCCTCCAACCTAGGCCACAGAACCGGGGCAAGACAAAAGGAAGGACAGACCACCCCCTCCTAGTTCAGCCTTGCCTTGCTGGCCCACCCTGGAATGAGAGTCCCCTTCTCTACCTCCTTAAGTTTTCCACACTTCGAACCCAGATGCTGAGCCCTGGCGAACTGTCACTCTGAGGGTGAGTTCTAGGCATTTTAGGAAATCGAGTTCCTGATTATGGAATCAAAGTTGTCTCTGAGTAAGAAAAACAAAAAGTGAGACCATCTGAGAGTGTGTGTGAGGCATCCAAAGAAAGGCTGTCAGAGCAAAACCCCCTGTATTATGTTGCAGTCCTAACACAGGTTACCTATGGACCACGGCTATTAAATCACAGCTGCACCCAGTAAAAGGACTCAGGAAACACACACTGTCGTCCACTCTCACACTCCCCTCACTTGCACAGTGACAATCAGCTTAAGTTGGAGCACATTTGACAGGGTTTGTGTGTGTTCGAGGGATCTGACAACTCCCTCCCTCCCTGCCCTTGGTGGATGAGGGGAGTAAGGAGTCAGGGAGCCCCCAACACCTTCTACAAACACATCTTAGCAGTAAACTCCCGAAGGCACAGCGCAGACTTAGAATTGTCAATTGACCGAAAAAGACACAAAAAATAACTGTAGGATATAGTCAAGGAACAACCTAAATAGATTTGAGTGAAGCTATCCTCTTCTAATCCCTTCTCACAAACTTCTTAGGAAGTCGCGGAGTCGGGGCACACTCGCCAGCCCACCTTTGAGGTATTGCTGGGGCAGAACCTTGTCATGGAGAGCCGGGGCGCAGGAGGGCGCGCTCGCACACCGTAGTTCGTAGGTAGGTACCATCCGTGGGTGAGCCGGCTCTGACTTAAACCTCAAGGATGTAGCTACCGCTCCACGTAAGTAGTCGCAGGCGGAAACCCCTCGGCGAGTAGAGGGAGGAAGCCCTTCTTCTCTCTACCATGCCCAGGGGCGTTCTGCGGAACCCTAGAGCCTGCGGAGCAGGGCTCGCGCGGCGCCCGCCACGCGCGCGCGACGCCACGGGACCTGCTCTGGCCTCTGCACAGATTTTCCACCGAAGACTCACCCTTTGCGAGTGAGAGAAACAGATTCCCACCTGGAAAATCCCTGCACGCGCGCACACACACGTACTCACACACACACACACCTGAAGATTAACAGGCTCTGAGCTCCGGCCACCTTCCTAATTTCGGGCGCAGGAAAGACAAGCGAGCGGGCGAGCAAAGCGCCGTTACGCTCTAATCTCTTCCCTTCCGAGTCCAAGCCATCCCGAAACCTGCCCTCTCGTGCGCCAAGGATGTACCCCGAGTTCAGAACTTCGTCCTGGTGCTCCCCCCTCCCTTCAGTCCTCGGCTTGCTAGAATATGGCGAGTGGATTTCCTCACTAGGAGCTGGCAGTTCCCGGCGGCGCAGGCGGCGGGCGCTGCGGACAGCATTGGCTGGGGACGCACCAGGCGCGCACACCCTGCGCGCGGGGACAGAGAGTGTGGCCTGGGCTTCTGTGCCGCCAGCCCCGGGGGCGGGGGACGCGCTCTCCAACTTTTCGCCAGCTGGGGTGAAGTTGCACTAGCAGTACTGCGAGCTTTGACTGTAGCCCTCCCCGCCCCCCCACCCCCAGGGGGGGCGACCACCCCAGGACTCTGGCCTGGCCTGGCCTGCAGCCTGTTCCCCTAGCGTCCCCAAACAGCACTCTCCCCCACGCTCCTAGAAAAGCCACGGGCTGGGGATGCGGGGTTCGGTATCCCTCGGTTCGCCTCAAGCACCATCCCGGAGGCGTTCACTTTCGGCCCCCAAAGCCAAGGGCCAGGCCCTTCAAACGCACTCTGGCTGGTGCCCCTGCCCTGTGACCGCCTCTGCGCCCCGGCCGTCGGCCCCTCGCCCCGCCCGTCCCCTCCGGTCCAGGCTACGCGCAGCGTTCGGCCCGCCCCAAACCGGCCAAAGCTGCTGGCTGTCTGGCTATCAAATTAAATCAGCGAGAAAGGGGGGTGTCTTACGTTGCATCGGCACACCAAGCATCTCCGGGAGCCCCTTGACAGCCCCCTCCGCGGGGACAGCTGCGCTCTGCATCATCTCCGAGCGAGAGCCAGCGAGTCGCAGTCTACGGAGATCTCTCGCTCAAGCTGGATTCAGAAATTGGAAAATAATAATAATAATAATAATAATAAAAACACCCAACCAGACCGCCGAAGTCACGGTGGAAGCGGACCCTCCGCTTCTCCAGCAAGATTCCACAGGCTGCCTGGCCCCCTCCCCCTGCCAGTCCCCGGTCTGTTTCAAATCCCTTTGATCTCCCTCTCCCGGGTTGGTGCACATCCCGGGTTGAGGAGACGCTGTTGCTGCAGCTCTGGCTTTTTTTCCCCCTCCTCCCTCCCCCGCCCGCTTCCCTCCCCCTCCCGCTCCACCCTTGGCGTGCCGGCCGCCGGGGAGGCCGCGGTCACCCAGGCATTTTGATTCATTCACACTGCAGGAACGGCCGTGACGTCGCTTTCCGCAGGCAGGCCCGCCCTTCAGCCAAGCCCCCCACCGGGCAGCAGGCGGCGGACCCAGGCCGGAGTGAGGGGTCCCAGCGCCCCAAGGGAGGCCGGCCAGGCAGGAGGGCGGGACCGCATGGAGTGGGGCGGGGCCTCGCGGGCCTTCCCCCTCCCTCTGCCCGCGGTGCGCGCTCGCGCCCTGGGTATAAATACTGCGGCTAGCTCGGCCGCGGCAGCAGGTGTCCCGGACGGCGGTGTCCGGGTCTTCGAGGGGTCCGTGGGTTCCCCCGAGGAAGGGGGGGGGGGTCCCGGCCCCAGCGGGCGGCTCTTGTCCTCTCCGCTTCTCCGTTCGAACCAAAGGGCGGGGCAGGCGCCCCGAGGCCGGGCCGCTCGGCGGGGGTCTTCCCGTCGCGCGCTCTCGGTCCCGGGCTTCTCCTGGCCTGATGATTGAGCGCGCTCCGTAACTAGATGACTCCATCCTCCTCGTCCTCGGCCTCCTCCTCTTCTCCTCCAGCCAACTCCTTTCCCGCCGGCGCTTCCCAGTCCTTGCTCTCTCTCCCCCGCGTCTGGCTGAGGCCGGGCCAGGGACAGCCGGTACTCTGCCCGGAGCGCGCGAGTCACGCAGCGGGCGGCGGCCGTTGGTGGAGGGCCGCCAGGGACTGCGCGCGGAGGTAGCGGGGCGCGGACCCCCGGGTGCGCGCCCCCGCACACCTCGGCCTGCGGCTCCCAGCGGACTCTTCGGTCCTCCTCCGCCCCGTCCCGGCCGCTCTGCCTGCGTCCGCCTCGCTCGTCCTGCCCTCAGCCCTTCGAGACCGCCCTGCCTCACCCGCTGTTACCGCGGGTGTTTTGAACAATTCCCCACCTCGTGCGTGCAGGGCGGCAGCGCGCACACCCACCCTGGGGCTAACGAGCGAAGGCGCGCGTGTTATGGTATTTACATACAATAACACTTTACATACCATAACGCTTATGGTATTTACAAGACACACACAAACACCAATTCTCCGCGCGAGGTCCTGGAGGAAATAAAACAGAAGGCCCATCGATGGGACGGGTCTCCTCCGAGTGCTTCATCAGCTTCTCGACGCCGCCTGACTGCAGGCGCGAGAAGCCCATCCCCCTGCATTAGGACCCTCTCCGGATCCTAGGATCCTATCCTAATAGGCGACTCTCCGGATCCCAGCCCTCGCAACACCGCCACTCTGAATTTCGTTCCAGAGACATGGACAGACGTATGATCCCAGCTTAGTGGGGTTTGGCTCGAGTGGGAAGGGGAACTGGGTGCTCTCTCTCCAACCATCCAGCTTTTTCTCCTGGTGTTGCCCACGAAGAGGGGATAGCAGGACTGGTGAGGGACAAGCGTGACAGTGGGCGAGCATGGCATGGCTGTCAGCGCTTAGAATTTGTCTTCAATGAAGTCGCACTGACTTCTGTGTGTCCTGGAGCTCGGTTGGCAATGTCTCTTGCCCTGCCTACCTGCGAGGCAATTCCAGTGCACAAGATGCCAAGAACCAGGTAACATTTTCAGAGTTTACCAAAATGTTTTCTACGAAAACTTTTGCTAGCAATCACGAGGAAATGCCAGCCTCGTTAAGAACCAAAGAAAAGCAAAACAAAACATCTTGTACATAAACCTCTTTCTGTCTGTTCAGTGAAGAGGGGGGGGAGGAGGAATCGTAGAATTCACTGCTGTTGCAGGTGCTTGGAGACTTTCTCTCACAAACATTGCTAATGTGTTTATAAGCTCTTAAATTCGTTTGAAAAGCAATTGGGCAATATGTATCAAGTCCAGAAACTATTCATACTCTTTAGCTCATGTCATTCCACTTTTGAGTGTCTATTCTACTGAAATAATAAAATTCGAAAAAAGTTTCAGACAAGAAGATGCTTAAACAACCCAAATATTCAATAAAAGAAAAATAATGTTATACAATTATTGAAACTAATTATGAAACCTAGCAACATGGAAATGCTTGTGAAATACTAAAAATTTTTAAAGCAGGATGCAATATTGTATGATTATAAGTATGTAAAAATGTTAGTCAAAGATAAAAGCAGTGGTAATCCCATTGTTGGCTAGGGTGTGAGGGAAAATTAGAAAACAGTTTCTTGGTAGGTATGCAAAGAGGAACAATGTCTTCTGAGGGCATTTTGGCAATATCTTTTATAACCTAACAGTGTGATGGATTTGACCTCATTCATATAAAAATTTGTCCACACAAAATAATCAAGAATAATATCTATAATGATATATGTTTATAACATTTAAAGAGGATAATCTATATATCCAACAATAGGGGATTATTAGAGTATATAATGGAATATTATAGTCATTTGAAAATACAACAGGATATTTAATAATGTAGAAAAGTGTTCCAGATTTATAAGGAGGTGAGGGAAAAATGAGAATGTGAAGCAGTATGGACTTTAGGATATTTTTTAAACAAGCGTAGATAGAAATATATGCTAAAATACGAAAGTGGTTATCTGTACATTACAATTTTTATTTTCTTCTTTTTGCTCTTTTCAGTTTCCTCGATGAGCACATTATTTTATAAAGCAGAAAAAAAACTAATATAAGTTGTTTTTCAAAAACTTTGGGGAAAAACTGGAAGAAAATATATTAGAATGCTATTTAGATGTGTATTACGGAAAAAAGTATATTAGGGAAATGTATTTTAAGGAATTTTTTCTTTTCCAAATTTCCTGTAAAGTTGATATGTGTTTTCAGTAATATTAATGAAAGATAAAATATTTATATGCAGTGAAATGTGAAGCATATGCATAATCACTTCTATGATTTAATATTATAATTTTTAAATGCTCTCTGCAGCTCCTGCTCCCCTTGAATGAACCTGCCTGGGTCCTGCCCTCTTCTCACTGCATGTCATTAGCCTGTCACTGGATTGGGGGCAGCATTACTGTGGTGGGGACTCTTCTGTGCCCAGGGCTGTTCAGGGGATGCCACTTTCAACTCTACCCAATGGCACAAGAGCCCTGGGAGACCCATTCTGCTGTCACTTCTTGACTTGTGAGCAGCAGTTCCCCCAACATCCCTCTGTGTCCCCATAGGTACCCACAAAGCAGCTCCACCAATAAATACCCTTTTTGCATTCCTATAGTTCTCTAGAGGTATTTGTCTCCTGGTATGAGCTGAATCCCACTCCCAAGGTCTTTCACTAACACCTACATCTGCCAAGGTATTTCAGTTTCCTCCTGGGCCCTTACCTGTCCCATCTAATAATGAATCTCCAGTTTAAAAAAGAAATAGCTTCCCTTAAATGTACCTTTTAGTGCCTGCCACTACAGATAGCAATAATAATAACATCAACATAATAACCTGTGGTGGTAATAATAACAACCAATCTTTACTGAAAGTGTAAAACTGTGCCCGGCACCAAGGTAAGAGCTTCTACCTGTGTAATTCCATCTATTATTCACAACAATTTCATAAGTGGCATTGGAGGGTGAAAACACTGAGGATAATGGGCTAAGCTAGTCTCCCTGCCCCAACCCCCCACAGAATGGAAGAAGGACTAGTTCCCACAGAGAGCAGACAGTCTACTGGAATAGCCCAGGAAAACCATTGAGGTGTTTGGACTTAAACCTCTGAGCTAACTCAGGGCTTTTCCCACTGAAGGCTGTACACAGCTTGCAGATGACATCCCAGGAGCAATGGTCCTCAGAGCCTCCTCAGACCTGTGCCTTTTAGCTACACCCCAGCAGGAGGGCAGGTACCAGCCACCACTCATGGCTGGTGGCCATGTGGCTTTCCCAGATCTAAAGTTCTGTCAGGGCAATCGGTCAATAGTCAGGAAGAGTATCCAGTACTTTCTGGACATTTACATATTACATTTCTGGGAACCAAACCCAACATGTCAGTGGATCCAATTCTGAGGGAAGACTCTCCAGAAACTCAATTTAAGAAAATGATTAAAGCTTGCATTTGTCTAGCACTTTACATTTTACAAAGTTTCTCCACATATTTTATCTCATTTGATCTTCATCATCATGCCAGGGCTTGGGTATGACTATCAGGAAACGGAGAAGTTAAGTGGTTTGCCTAAGGTCACACTGCTAATAAGTTACAGAGTCAACTGGAAATTAAATCCAGCCTTTGACTCCCAATCTGGTGCTCTTTCCACTGGGCACAGCAGACTTGTGTGTCTTCTAACCCTTGCATTTTAGGAACTTCACAGAGTGGGAGAGTTCACCCTCAGACGCCAGGAATCCTGAAGCCCCGTCTCTTTTCCCGCTGAGGGACAAATTCACTGCCTCTGCTCCTTGTCACCCCATCTCCAATGATCTCCTCCTTGTCCTTATTCCTCTCAAACCCTCTTTTATCATTTGCATTTCGAAACTGTTTCCTTAATTATTCTCCTGCTGTTGGAAACCTGCTCTCCCTGTCTCTATGGCATCCTTTGATTTATCTCTGTCTGGATAACAGCTCCCCAATTCTCCTTGGGGAATTCAATTTTCATTCATTTTTCTGCTGGGCTAGATTGATATAGACCCTCTGCCCTGGTCCATATTACTCATCCCAGCAGAGAAAACCAGGGAGACCAACCCTTAGCCCAGCCCCTAGGGAGCCACTGTCTTGTTCAGGGAGCCACAAGGAGTTCTCCAATAAAAGGACAGGGGCCTTTGCTCTTCTCCATCTGTCCACCCAGTCCTCCCAGTCATTTGTCACAGGCCTCTTTTGTGAGCCCACCACTTTGTCATTTGTTTCTTTCTCTTCCCAGAATCTTCCAGAGATCTCTCCCCCCAGGGATGCTGATCAGTTGTTGCTCATCTTAAACCTGCCCTGTGTCCTTGACACAGGAATTTAAGGGACATGGAAAAGAGATGGTCCGTTCTTGGACATCTAACTCTCAAAACGAGATTATGAGTCAGTAAGTAGCTGAGAAACAGAATAAGTAAAGGGCACTGGGATCCTTAGAGGAAGAAGGAAACTGACAATAGCTAACACTCATATCACCTGCACTACTCTAAGTGTTCGGTATACATTAAGTCATTTAACCCTCACAAATCCACTGAGGCAGGAACTATCATTATCCCCATTTTATAGATGAGAAAACTGAGTCAGCACAGAGCGGTCAAGTGATGTGCCCAAGGTTGCACAGATAGTAAGCAGTGGGGCCAGGTTATGGTCATAGGTAGTCTGGCTCTATTGCTAGCACCATGAAGTAACTTTTATTTGAAGGTCCCTGGGCATAGTCTGGTGGTAGAACAGGATATATCACCGAGCGAGGCCAAGTCTTCTGAGATCCATCTGTGCAGCCATAACACCCCATGGCCTATGTGTATGGGAAGCAGGGGAATGAATTGAGGAATTTGGTTTCATTCTAATCTCAGAGTTTTTTCTTTTTATTTCCTATACAAAATCTAGGATATTTTAGATTATTTCTTAATTTATGTATTCACTAAATACCCATTGAATGCCAGCTTCTTGCTGGGCCCTGGAAGACAATGAGCCAGAGTGCCAAGTGCAGATTACCTTGCTTCACGATTCCCAGCACACCTGTGGAATAGAGTCAGCTAAGTTCCTCAGGGACACCTGCCTTCCTTGTACTGGGAGGGACGCAGAGCCTGGGTTAGCAGACATTTGGGTTCTGGGCTCAGAGTACCTAAATTCAAATCCCAACTGTGTACATCCTAACTTGGGTAACCTTTGGCAGGTCCCTTACTTTGCCTTCTCAGTGGCTAAATAATGGTAGTATTCTTGTCACAGATGGTCACCTGAAGCAACTAGGAACCTGCATCATTATTGTATCCCCTCTATAGTATTTTGCCTGTTTTACTTTTTATTCTTTGGCATTTATGGAAGAAACCAAGAGACAAGAAATTCTTCAGAATGCTTTCAAGTAAAGACTGGAACTTAGGAGCTCTTCTTTCCTGAAAATGTTAGTTGGGAGGGAGAGACCCATGATTATGGGTTTTTGTTTTCTTTCCCCTTTGGAGGTGGAAATCTACTCTTACCCAAGAGTAGGTCACAAGCTGAGGTAAAGAGGCCTAAATTACTCCTTGGGTGAAATTTTAACTATATTATGATAAGCTGTCACTCCATTAAGGAAACAGGCAGCTTTTGTACCGAGCAAAGGGGGCAGGAAGGCACAGCTGAGTGGTGGCTGGGAGAAGGGATCCCTGAAAAGAGCCTCTGGTGCAATGGGTCAGACCATCAGGGCTCACCTGACACCTAGGGAAAGTTACTTAACCTTGCTAGCTTCCCTTCTCATCTGTAAAATGGGGAGATGGCCCCTCTACATTATAGGGTACTTGTTGGACTAGAGATAATGCATATAAACTCCAGAACCGAGCGCTCAACGCACAGAAGGCCCTCAAGTGTCATTGTGGTGGTTGTTAAGAAGGTGACTCACGGTCATCACCAATAACTGGGCTGTGTTCCTTCTGCCTGCTTTCCCAAACAGCCTCTCCATGGCACGCTGAGATACCCGATTCTGTATCTTCTCTTCGGAAGCTGCTCTGCCCACACAACCTGCAATCCTGCTCTCTTTACCTTTGTTTTGAATGTTCACCTAATACTCAAGATCATTTGCAAAAAGAACTTGGACTCACAGCCGACACTCGCTCTCCCTTCCCCATGTCCCTCTTCAGTCTCCAGGACCCAGAGGCATCCTGAATCTGAGAATGGTCCAGTGACCCCTATCTCTCAGTGCTTTATGGTTGGTTAGGGGCCTTTCCACACCTCTTCTCACTTAAGCATCACAAGGTAGGTAGGGTTCTTCGTAATCCGACCACTCTACCAATGAGGAAACAGCGCAGAAAGGTGGGGCTGCCTGCTCTAGGGTACCAGGGCCCAGCCCCAGAGCCTCTAACCTGATGCTCCGTTGTCTCAGCTTCTAGGGAGGAGGTTGTAAATGGGGAGCAGGAGGGGGAGGGGTGGAAGTCCTGCCTGGCTCCATTTGGAAATAGCTGCAGGTGTCAAGGCTAATCTATAAAACAACTCCGTCATCATCTTGGCCAAAGGTTTTTACTGGAGGAGCTTAACTCAGCAGTTTCCTCTCAGGAACTGACTTACAACCAAAAAAAATGTGAATGTGCTAGATGTGGGCAGAGGCGACAGGAGAAAGGTTGGGGTGGGGGTGGGGATCGTGTGAGAAGTCGTTGGGGGGCGGTGGTCAGACACCACCCACCCTAGAACCACATGAACTTCAATGCTGCTGCCTGCTACAGGGGGACCCCCTCTGAGCTTCCACTCACTGCCTGGTATGTGGACAGTGCTTGTTCTTGCCTGGCCGTGTTGTCGCAGAAGGGCTCCACTGTCAGCGCAGGGGCTGGCACACGGAAAGTCCCCCACAAATGCCAGTGTGAGTGTTAGGAGGACAAAGAACACGGCGCTGATTACCTCTCTCACCACTTGATCATCTCTTCCTTTCACGGCCCAAGTTCGCTGGGAAGGGGCCTGTTTGCTCATATGCCTCAGTGGAGGGAGCAAGATATACTGTGACTATGGCCACTTTTTGAAAAAATATTTGCTTTTTATTTATTTGTCAGCTAAGGGTCTTAGTTGTGGCATATGGGATCTAGTTCCCTGCACAGAGATCGAACCGGGCCCCCTGCTCAGGGAGCATGGAGTCTTAGCCACTGGACCACCAGGGAAGTCCCACTGAAGCCATTTTTGATGGTCAAGGAAGATATACTGAGAACTCTGAGGGGTAAAGGATTTCCCCCAGACCTCACCAAGGAAGCACTTCATAGAAGACATAAACCCTGGGTCTACTCTACATCCGAGCTCTGTGACTGTGAGCTTTCCCAGCCTTTGTTTTCCTGTGTTAGCAGGGGTGGTAATACTCAGGTCATTCCCCCTGAGAAGGGGTTGAGATCCAATATGAAAAGCCCCTAAAGCAAATGCTCTGTAAAATTCATTCTACCCTGCTGCCCCTACACACCCAGGGTCCTCGGATTTACAATGAGCATCAATCACCTGGGCATTTTGTTTGAATACAGATTCTGATTCAGCAAGTCTGGGACAAGAGACTCTGCATTTTCAACAAGTTGCCAAGAGATGCCAGTGCTGCTGGCCCCTGGACCGCACGGTGTGCATGAGTGCTTTAGGGCAGTGCTGCCCAAGACAGAAGCCACTAGCACATGTGGCTGCTGAAAGATGTGGCCAGCTGGAAACATAACACACTGTAAATGTCAATTACATGTTGCATTTCTAAGATTTCATACCAAAAAGACTGTAAAGTATCTCATTAAGATTTTAGAAACTTTTATTACATGTAGAAATGATGAGTCTTTTAGATGTGTGTTGTGTTTAGTTGCTCAGTCGTGTCTGACTCTGTGTAACCCCCTGGACTGCAGCTCACCAGGTTCCTCTGTCCATGGGAGTCTTCAGGCAAGAATACTGGAGTGGGTTGCCATTTCCTTCTCCGTGGGATCTTCCCGAACCAGGGATCAAACCTGCATCTCCTGCATTGCAGGCAGGCAGAATCTTTACCCATTGAGGCATTAGGGAAGCCCAGTCGTTTGGTTATCTGGGGTTAAATAAAATCGAGTATTCATTTCACATCTTTCTCCTATTAGCATCGCTATCAGAAAACTTAAAATTACTCAAGTGGCTGGCTTTTATATTGCTGTTGGACAGTGCTGTTCCTGGGCATTTTGACTTGCCTGTGCTGCAGTCACACGCGCACACACACACACACACACACACACACCCCTCTCCAGGTTTAGAGCTGGGCCCTTTCTCTGCCGTGCTCCTTACACACACACACACACACACACACCCCTCTCCAGGTTTAGAGCTGGGCTCTTTCTCTGCCACGCTCCTTCCTCGTCTCTGAAGATGAGATGCCAGCTGCCTCCTCTCTCTGCACCTGCCGCCTCCTCGCCTCCTCCCTCCCCTCACCCTTCTCTGTGGCTCCAGGCCCCCTGCCAGTGCTGCCCTACTTAAATCCCAAGGCTCTGGCTGCCCAGGATGCTGAGTCAGATGCGGGCTCCGTCCCCTTCAGAGGCTGACTGCTGACTCAGCCGCCCTCGCCCCGGGGGCAGGTCTGAGCCCCTCCTTCTGGCGCAGGTCTGGGGCAGCTGGGGCTCCCTCTGGGGGTGGTCTGCACCTCTCCCTTGGGAACTGCTGTCTACCTAGCCCTTCATCCCGCCTCACCAGACCTGGCCTGGTCCACTTGGCTTAGTGACAGGCAGGGGTGGTCACACCGAGGACCCTGTGAGGTGGCGAGTGCGTGTCACCATGCCGTTCCAGTCTCAGCCGAGACAGCCTTCGGCCCCTCTCAGGTGTCCCATGCAGACTGGGCCCCTGTTCTTCAGCCCCGTCTGATCATAGAGCCTTTCCCCACCAGCCCTGTGAGCCGCTTGGTCCTCAAGTGGCTGAGGCCTGGGGTGGCTGGCCCAGAGAATCAGGAGAGGGGAGGAATCCTGGAGTAGTTTCTGTAGGCTGTCTTCCTGCTCGACACATGAGGAGGGGCAGCCAGGAAGCTGGGAGGCACCCCCTTACCCCACAGCACAGTCCTCTCTGAAGGACTCCTCCCAGCGGGGCTGTCACCCGAGTGCTGCTTGCGTCTCTCAGCTGGACTCAGAGCTGCTTTTGGTTTGCACCCCCCCCACCCCTGTGTGAGGGAAAAGGAGTCGACCCAGGAAAGTCCTGACCAGGCAGAGGCTCAAGTGCTGCCCACTGAGCTTCTGCCTTCAGCAGCGCTGGAACTGAGTTTGGGGTGAAGTCCTCCCTGCCAGAAGACATGCCCCTCCGAGCGGAGAGGGCTGGCCCTGGGGCAGAGGCAGACTGGAGGTGGGAGCTGTGGGCCAGAGGGCATGGGCTCGGGGGCTTCTGAGCCGAGCATCACAGCCCCTGAGACTGCAGAGACTTTTGGCCCTGCCCTTGTGTGGTTGCTTCTTCCTGATAGCAGTAATGGGAGCAGCTACCATTCCTTGAGGGGCTTCCCAGGTGGTATGAGTGGTAAACAATCCGCCTGCCACAGCAGGAGATGCAAGAGACTCGGGTCTCTGCGTTGGTAAGATTCCCCTGGAGTGGGAAATGGCCTCCCATTCCCAGTATTCTTGCCTGGAAAATTCCATGGACAGAGGAGCCTGGTGGGCTGCAGTCTATGGGGTTGCAGAGTCGGACATGACTGAGCACACACACCATTCCTTGAGCTCTGACAGGGTGTCTGACTGCAGAGTGCTCCTTTGTGCTTTAGCTTATCTGTATTTCTCAGAGTAAAACTCCATGGGTGGGTGCTAGCATCGTTGCATCACACGTGTGTCTGAGCTAACCGTCACTCTTGCCCACGGCGTGCCTGGGGCACCGAAGAAAGCCTGGAGGGCATAGAGCTCCCTCCGCCTGCTCAGCCTTGGGGACGTGTCGGCTGTAGGTCTGCCCTGCAGCCCAGCAGGGATCTCCCTGTTCCCTCACGGAAGCAGCTGGCAGGACTGGCCACTAGGTGGCATGTGGTCACCAGAGTTTTCCTGCTCCCAGCACAGGCTGACTCCCTGTGGTCCAGAGCCCCTTAATTCATCCTTCCTCCTGACACCGCGGCCTTAGAGGGCGTCATCTTTCCTAATCAGGACAGCGGGTGAAGGTCAGTGAGAAATGCTGACTTGAAGCTGTAAATTTGTGTTGAGAGCCCAGAGGCCGGTGTGAGCTGACCGAGAGGCAGCATGTCAAGGCACAGGATTCTTTCTGGCCATTTCTCCTGCTGGGGGACCGTGTCCTGCCTGGAGGTTTGATAAGAACACGCCATGGCTTCCTCAGAGGACTGGATCCTTTGGCAGGTTTTTCTGTTTCGGGATCATTCCTGTCTCCAGCTTCCATCTTCTTAGAAATGCTTCACTGTGCTCTGGTCCCTCAAGTTTCTCCATATTGTCCTCCTGACCTCCTTGGTGATTCTTCTGACCTGCTCTGCTACTGCAGCCCCCTCTCTGCTTCCCCCACCCTGGGTATGCCCGTGCGTGTGCTCATGCGTGCACGCGCACACACACACAACGCATCCATCTTCCTCCCTGGAGTCCTTGTGGTTTTAAAGTGCTGATACTAATCAGATTTGAGTTGACTTATCTTCAGAGTAGCTTTTCCTGCTCCTCAGAGCCCACGGGGAGTTCCCATCAAGATTTGGATCTCGGCTCTGGCCCCTGATCTGCCTGGTCGCCACTGGCAGCCCGTGGAATACAAATGAAAGGCCATTTGCCAGCCCAGCCCAGCTGGTCAGTTCACTAATCAGCTGCTCTATCAGAAGATTACCTGAGCAGAGGCCCGTGTGGTCTAGAGGTCCCAGCCACCCTGGGCAGTGACACAGGTGCTCTGGCTTCCTCCCAGTGGGCGTGTGGTCAGGGGTCAGGGCCCCAGCCTGCAGCTTGAAGTCGGGGGCAGCCTTGAGGGCCCAGCCCCCCTGAGCGCTTCTGCCCAGCCCTCCACCTCACCTTTCCAGGTGTCCCAGGGCAAAGGTAGTGAGTGAGGAGCCCACATCTGGGTGTTTTTTTCCCCTCACATTTGGGTCTTAGGATGTTTTTCTGGTGCGTTTGGAACATTCCAGAAAACTACCTCAGCCCCCTTCCGCCTGCCCCCACTGCCCTCCCCAGGGGAACTCCCAGGGAATTGCTTCTCACTCTCCGCTTATCGCTCCCATAGTACTTCCGCGGCCGGCCCTTAGTCCAGAACTTCTTGCACTCCATGAACAACTGGCTCAAGAAGCAGCAGAGAAAGAAAATTCCCTATGGTTTCTTTAAAAATGCGCTGGACAGCAGGAAGGAGGTGAGTCCGGGAGGCAAAGAAGCTCTTCTCCATGTTCCATATCTGTGGGAGCAGTCGGGGTCCACCTTGTCCCGTCTGACCTCACCAATCCGTATTTAGGAAGGAGGCCGTGATCTTGGTTGGGTCCTTGCGTTGGTCATGAGTGAACCACTGTCTGTTAAGCTCTGTCTCTCCAGACCTCACTTAATCTTCACAACATTAGTGGAAGGCAGATACTGTTCCCATTGGGCAGATGGAGAAGCAGAGGTCAAGACACTGTGTGTGTGTCTGAGGTCACACAGCCAGTAAGTAGTTAAGCCGGGCTTTAGAGCTGGTTGTGAGACGCCCCTGGTGGGAGAGCTTTTTAACCACAGCCCTCTGTTGCCTGCCGGGCTCAACACAGCTTCTCTCCAGGGGCGCTTTCTGGGCTCCTGCTGTCACCGCTGTCTGCACAGGTGGGCACGTCAGCCAGCAGCAGCGGTGCAGAACCTCACAGACGTGTGGGGGGGGGGGTGGTGAAGGTCAAGCCTGAAGGACGCTTAGAGATGAACCGCTCATTCTACAGAGGGGGAGGTGGAGGCTAGAGTAGGGACATGACTTGGTCTGTGTCACGGTCTCTCAGCCCTCCTGCTCGTTCGATGGATGCCACCTGGGGAGGGGAAATGCCCACCTCGAGGTGATAGACTGAGGAAGGGACTGTTTGTGTCAGGGCTGCGTGCAGACCTGCAGTCTCCTGCAAGCCGCTCTCCTCACTCGCCGCACAGCTCCTGTTTCTTCTCCACACGTGCACTCACGCGCCTGTGTGTCCCCTAGGGCACTGTGATCGCGGAGAAGGTGAACTGGGTGGGCTGCCAGGGGAGTGAGCCGCATTTCCGGGGCTTTCCCTGCTCCCTGTGGATCCTGTTCCACTTCCTGACCGTGCAGGCAGCTCAGGAAGGCGTAGACCACTCTCAGGAAACAGGTGAGTGGAGGCCCGGGCAGCCCCGTGCCTCAGCCCACCCCTCCCACCGTCTGCTGGCGCCCTGCTGCAGGCCTGAACTTAGGGGAGTCTGCGTTTGCAGCTGCTGACACATGATCAGTGTGGACCCAGAGCAGGGAGGGCCTGGGGGCCACTCTGTCCTGCCACTCCGTCCTGCTCATGGCTCCCACGGTGATGCCTCACAAACTCAGGGGTGTGAGGCTGCGCCCTGGCTTTCTCAAAGCCACAAGTTTGCTGTATTTTTACTCTTCATGAAAGAGATCTGGTTCTATTTTTTATACTCCTGTAAAGAAAAAAAATGTATATCTTCTTCACAATTTATGCAGCTAATAACGTGGACTCTGAACAACTTTACTGTGTTTCCCCCTGAAAAAATCATTTTCTAGGGGAAGCTGGGGAAACCTTGTCCCCTTTGCAGCCTGTTTTGTCCCCAAACCGTGCAACTGCTCTCCATCACTCACCCTGCCCCGCAGCCACACGAAACGACTGAATGGGTGGGCACCCAGTTCAGTCCCCGTTCACTGAGGGACCAGGCTCACACCAGGCCCTCCCTGGCCCAGCCTGGAGGACGCAAAGGTGGGAGAGATGTGCCCTGCCCCCAGTGGACTGTGAGGCAGGTGGGCACAGGGCTGACAGGCAATGTGCCAGGGCCCAGGGGCAACGGGGAGAGGAGGATGTGCAGGGGTGGGGGAGCGAGGGAGTGCTCCACGCTGTTGGGAGGGCAGGACTTGGAGGTCAGTGAAGGGGAAGACGGACGGGAGTCCCGGACCGAGGAGATGGCCTGTGTGGGGACAGAGGGAACTGGAGGAGCGGCCGGGTGTGCGGCAGCCAGCTGGTCTGTCAGCCACAATTTACAGAGCATTTCTGAAGAGCCAGGCCCCGCGCTAGGGGTGGGGTAGAGCGGTGCTTGCAGTGAGACATCCCTGCCTCGAGGGGACAATATTCCAGTGGCAGGAGACAGACAGTAAACACACAGATAGATCACTTCAGGTGTGATGGTGGGTCTGTGAGGAAGACAGAACCTGTGGTGGTCCATGATGAAGGCGTTGGCAGGGTGGGTTCTACGGAGGCTTCTCCTTGGTGTTGTAGATGGCCGTCGTCTCCCTGGGTCATCACAAGGTCCTCCCTGTGGGTGTTCTGGCTGTGTCCCCAAATGTCCCCTTACAAGGACACCAGTCATATGCAATAGGATACACCCCAGTGACCTCTTTCTCACTTAATCACCTTTTTAGAGATGCTGTGTCCAAATACAGTCACATTCTGAAGGACTGGCGTTAGGACTTTAGCATAAGAATTTTAGAGGACGCGGTTCAGCCTGTAACGCAGGTCAAGGACTAGCAAGTGCAGGAGACAAGTGGGGCGTGTTTGCAGCACCAGAGGGGGCCAGGAGGGGGCGGCAGGAGAGATAGTGGGCACTTGGAGGTCCTGGGGAGGGAGGGAGTTGGATTTCAGTCCCTGCATTAGGAGAATCTACCGGAGACCATTGGCAGGGGAGGGATGCACACGACTGATGCTTTAGAGAGATGACTGGGTGGAGGGTGGGCTAGAGCAGGGCAAGGTGGAAGCGGGGCAGCCAGTTAGGACGTTGTGGAACTTGTCCAGGAGAGGCGGTGGCAGCTCGGGCTAGAGTTGTTAGGTGAGCACATGTAAGAAGTGGGCAGATTTGGGTATGTTTTAAAGGCAGAGCTGATATGACTCATTGAGGGATTGGATAAAGAATGTGCAGGATCAAGGACTTTGGTTGGACCCTGGACTTGGGCCTGAGCGTCAGGTGGGTGATGGTTCTATGAGCCGAGAAATGGGAAGGCTCGAGGGTGGTAGTAGATGGGGAGAGGGCACACATAACTGTCTGCATCTATGGGATCTCTGAATGGAGATGCAGACAGGCGAGTCTGCAGCTCTGGGGCGAGGTCCATGACAGAGACACAAATCTTGTGGTCGTCAGCACACAGATGGTAGTTAAGACCTGGGGACTGGATGAGTCCATTAGCGAGTGGGCAGAGAAGAGTGCAAATAGGCCTGAGTTCTGGGGCATTCAGCTTCCAGACCTCTGCTCAAGGAGCAGGGGCCAGCTAACGAGACTAAGAAAGAGCTGCTGTTGCAATTTCAAGAAGGCCCCCAACATAAAGAGTTTCAAGAGGGAGGACGCAGCTGAGTGGATGCTGCTGTGCTGGGGGAGCTGGTGCAAGGGGAGGACCTCGCTGGCAAGAGCTGTTTCAGGGGTTTAGTGGAGAGAAAGGCCTGGGTGGTTTGGGCTGAAGAGAGAAGAGCCAGGGAGGAGTTGGAGGTACTGGGGGAGTGATTGGGGTATGGGTCGGGTCAGAGAGAAATTTCTTTATTGTAGTTATTTTTTTCCTGTCGGAAGGAGCCCATACAAGGAGGAAATGGATGATGCCATAGAAAATGAAAATATGGACAGGAGTGAAATCTTGGAGGAGGCGAGAGGGATGAGGTCCAGAGCGTGAGGGCAGGCATAAGGGGTGATAGGGGTGGACACAGGAGCTGAGGGAACTGAGGAGGTAAGAGGCAAGGCACACCTTGGTGTGGACACCAAAGTTGTTCAAACCAAAGGCCCAGGGAGTGGTGGTGAGCAGGACAGAGAGCAGGGTGCTGAGGTCCCCATGGGTGGAGGGGTGGGACTAGGAGACAGGCTTTTAAAGGGCTGGGGGGTTTCACTGCAGGAAGGAGAGAGAGTCTGGATGCAAACAACAGCAGGGAGGGTACTTCCACCACCTCCAGCCCTGAGGTGTGTGGAGTGTGGAAGACAAAGTGGTTCAAGTAGGGCAGGTTTGGGGAAGCAGTGGTATCTTCAGGGAGGAACCCCTGTTGGAGCAAGAAGAGGCTCAGAGCCTGTGATGTTGCCAGTCCAGAGAGCCCAGTGGGAGGCCATGAGGGGACTGGGGAGAGATGGAGACGAATTAGGGAATGTGCAGAGCCGGATCAGGATGGGCTCTGGGTGTGTAGTGCTTGAGGGAGGAGATGCAGTGGAGGGCAGGTCACGACAGGAAGCCTGAAGCAGGAGGGGCAGGGTAGGGACCCACAGGTCGGGTGGTGGGTGCTCCAGCCCCTGCCTAACTCTCCAGCCACATCTCTAAGAGCCTGAGTGTCCTGACAATGAGTTTGGACTTTATCCTAAGTGTGAGTAAGTGATGAGGGCCTGGATAAGAGGCAGACAAGGGAGGCTGAGGTTTAAGAGTCCAGGGGGGATGGAGTTAGAGCCATGACCACCCCTAGAAGGGGCAGTAGGCAAGGAGACCAGTCCCCGCATCAGGTGGGCCCTGTGCAGAGGAGCATGTGGTGGGGATGGTGGTGGGATCAGCAGGGCCAAGCAACCTGCAGGGTCCCCGGTGACTGACAGTCTCCTCTTCCCTGTAGCCAAGGCCCAGGAGGTCCTCCAGGCCATCCGGGGCTACGTCCGCTTCTTCTTTGGCTGCCGAGAGTGCGCTGGCCACTTTGAGCAGATGGCTGCTGGCTCCATGCACCGGGTCGGGAGTCTGAACAGTGCCGTCCTTTGGTTCTGGTCCAGCCACAACAAGGTCAATGCTCGCCTTGCAGGTAAGGAAGGGCCACCTCCAAGGCCAGAGTCTCCTGCAGAGGGAGGGTGAGGTGGGGGAACTTGGGAGTCTTGGACCAGAGGCAGGAGACGGGACCCTGACTGTCCCCCTAGGTAACACTCCATTTGTCACGGTGCTGCTTAACACTCGGAGCCCCTTCACGGGCACTCCCAGCCCTGCTGATGGATGCCAGCATCACTAGGCCTATTTTCTAGATGAGGAGACTGAGGTTTCGGCACCCTGAGATTCTGGGCCTCCAATGCCATTGCTCTTTTTCTGCCCAACACCACAGCCACTCCCTCTGGCCTGCTGCTGGGGTCCCTTTTCCTGGCTCCCTTCAGCTTTCTGGCTATTGATCCCTTTCTCAAACCAGTAAAGAGAAAAGACCTGGGTTTTTCCACCCCCATGGGAAGGGTCTAATGATAAAACATGCTTCGGAAGAAAAACCTTCCTGGAAGCCAAGAACCCATTCTCATAGGAGGAGGCCTTGTCTTCTGCGTTTCCCTCGTTTACAGTGTTTTCTATTCCCCCGTGTTAAGGAGTTTGATGGGTCCCACAGACAAAAGCATTAAACTCCAGGGGTGACCGGCAGCCATCTGTGGATGGAAGCCTGGGCTGCTCTACGGGGAAAGGGGAAGCTCAATTGGCTGGGACAGACCTCCCAGGGGTGGAAGCGGGGGATAAGGCCCGGGGCAGGCTGAGGTTAAAGGAGCCTGTGGAGCAGGTGGTGGTGCAGGCGGCTGCCCTTGTCTGCGTCTCCTGGGGCCTTCCGGTGGACCTCAAAAGAAGACACGTGCCATCTCTCCTCCCACCCCTTCTCTCCCTGCCCCTGCCCCGCCCCTGCCGCCAAATGCTCATCTGAGCCTCCAGCCTCGTGTGACCTGCAGGCTCTTGGCTTCCCTGGGGGCCCAGCTGCTGCTGGAGGTCCAGGAAGCCAGTGCCCTTACTCACTCTAGGACTGCCCTTTCAGATCAGCCAGTAGCAATAATGAGCAGGTGCAAATGGAGTGCTCACTTTGCAAGGTCTGCTCACTATCACTTCTCACTGAACCCTTGGAATCTCCATGTTGCTCCCTCCCCCAAAATAACCCGTTTGATTTTTACATCACTTGCTGCTGCTGCTTTATTCTGCCCAGACCCTTCAGGAGAGGTGCCTCCTCCAGGAGAGATGGGTTGATTACGATTCCCCAGGTGACACTGGGGAAGGGGCTGGTGGTAGGCCCTCTGGGGCTCAGCCTGGGGCTCTGCCCACAGAGCTGGCCCCGCTTGGGGCCCCAGTGGCCTGGTAGGAAGAGCAACATCCTGTCTCTCTTCCAAGTGTTCTTTCCTCCATCCAGGCGCCCATCCCTTGGGACCCACCTGAGGAGGAAATTCCACTGTGCTGTGTTGAGTCGCTCAGTTGTGTCTGACTCCTTTGCAACCCCATGGACTGTAGTCCGCCAGGCTCCTCTGTCCATGGGGATTCTCCAGGCAGGAATACTGGAGTGGGTTGCCATGCCCTCCTCCAGGGGATCTTCCCAACCCAGGGATCAAACCCAGGTCTCCCGCATTGCAAGCAGATTCTTTACCATCTGAGCCACTAGGGAAGCCCAAGAATACTGGAGTAGGTAGCCTATCCCTTCTCCAGGGGATCTTCCTGACCCAGGAATTGAACTGGGCTCTCCTGCATTGCAGGCAGATTCTTTACCAGCTGATTACCAAGGAAGCTCAGAAATTCCACTACCTGCCACCTACCCCAGAGGGCTGCAGGGGGTGCAGGAGAAGCCGGGAAACTACCCTGTGCCTTGAACTCTTGCTTTAAAAACATTACAAAAAGAATGTATCTTTACTCCTGTAAAACTTGGGAACTTTCAGAAAAAATGCAAAGAGGGTTAATGCTAATGGACTGCCAGACAAAGCCTGCCAGACAGATCTTTCTGAGTCTTCTCGCCCTTTCCCATGTCTGGTCCCGGGGTACAAACCAGCAGTGAAGGTGACAGAGACAGTGGGTTAACACGGGGAAGTGGCTGGGGGAGAAACTGGAGTCCTGGGGGCGGGGGTGGGGAGGAACCTCCTTGTCCAGACAGGCGCTACTGTTGGCTGTGCTGTGGGCCAGGCCCTGTGCCAGGTCTGTTATCTGCCCTCTCGCATGCACATCCTTTCCCGGGGCAGCGATGCCCCCTTTGTGCTGATGAGGGAGCTGGCATCGTGAATGGAAGGGTGAGATCTGGGTTTCCGGGTGTCCAGCATGTCACAGACAGCCTATGTGTGTGCTTCTATTCCCAGGTGCCCCCAGTGAGGACCCCCAGTTCCCCAAGGTGCAGTGGCCGCCCCGCGAGCTCTGTTCTGCCTGCCACAATGAACTCCGGGGCGCGCCCGTGTGGGACCTGGACAACACCCTCAACTTCTTGAAGACCCACTTCTCCCCAAGCAACATCATCCTAGACCTTCCTTCAGCTGGGCCGGGCCCCCGGAGGGGTGCACAGAGGATGACAGTCATCCCCAAACAGGTGGAGCTGGAGCTGGCAACCAGAAATTTTACCCTGGCCCCTGAGAAGGCTGAGATCCCCGTGGGCTCAGGGATAAAGGCCCCTGGAGCCACCATGCTAGTGGCTGGACTTGGGGCAAACCACCCCAAGATGCAGGCTGGCCTCGGCGCGGCCACAGATGAGCCGGACCCGGGAGCTCCTGAGCAAGTAGTGGAGCTTCACAGGGATAAGTCGGAGCAGCCAGAGGGGGAGCAGCGCTTGAGCAGGAGAGACACAGGAGCCGTGCTGTTGGCCGAGTTCCTGGCTGGAAGGAACCTCCCCGGAGGCCCTTCAGAGCTGGGGCGAGTGGGCCACGGCTCCCAGCAGCTGGCGGGCATCCCTGACAGGGAGCCTGAGGCTGGGGCTGGGCAGGGCCAGGGCCAGTGGCTGCAGGTGCTGGGCGGGAACTTCTCCCACCTGGACATTAGCCTCTGCGTGGGGCTCTACTCCCTGTCCTTCATGGGCCTGCTGGCCGTGTACACCTACTTCCGGGCCAGGATAAAGGCTCTGAAGGGCTATGCCAGCCTCCCTGCCGCCTGAACTGTCCAACCCGGGAGTGGGGCAGGATAGGAAGCTGCCGTCCACGGGCTCTTCCAGCCCCTTCTGCCCCCCTCACCTTTCTCCTTGTCCAGGGACACCCAGCAAAACCAGTTGCTGCAGTGAAACCTCCCCGGGGCTCCTGGAAAGGGATGATCCATCGACAGGGAGATGTGCACAGGGCCCGGGTTCATCTGTCAGCACAGGCAAGGGCAGCCTTGGGCAGCGGGGTCGGGAGGCTCCGTCCCCAGCCTCTTAGCGCCAAATTCCTCTTTTTCAGCTTATTTGAAGTCCTGCCTCATTCTCCCCGAAGCTTCAGTGTTTCCCGCTTGGCGTTGGCCCTAAACTGGGGCCAATGAGGCTGCAGTGTCCAAGGTTTCCCCTCTCCGGAGGAGGGGCCCCGGGACTGGAGTGGACCCCCTCCCTGCTTCCCAGGACTCCGTCCATCCTGCTGCAAACAGCCCTTTGTGCCAGAGAAGGAAGGACTGCCTATGGCCCTCTGTGCCTGCCCATCCTCCAGCCCCTCAGACCCGCCCCCCGCCCCGACCCCCGGGTGGGGTTTGGCTTTGGAAGGGGCCCTGGAAGCTTCTGGAAGTCATGTTGGTCTCCCAGGTGAGGTCTTTGGGAGGAGAGCCTCTGGCTGGCTCTTTTCCCAAACCTTGGGTACAGGAGGAACACAGGCTGAAGCCGGGGTGTGACGGTACTGGGCTGGGGTGTGGGGTTTATGGAGGGATGTCTGGGTCTCTAGTGCCTTAGCTGTGAGAGGGCCAGTGAAGCCTTTGCTCTGAATGTGCTTTCTGCATCAGGCTCAACCCATCTCTCCAATCTGGGTCTTCTGTCTTTTTATTTTAGTCTCCAAAACAGATGCTAATCTATGACTGTGGGGGGAGCTGGAGCGAGGAGAGCGCTGTCCCTCTCGAGGGTCACCTCGCATCATGTAGAGGTTAAAAGGGTCAGAGGGGAGGGTGATGCTGTCCGCAGGCTCGATTCCCACTCCCCTCCACTGTTAGCGGGGGCTGTGGAATAAATTATTTTGTTAAGGCAAGCACCGGTGTGTTCTTTAACTTGCTACTAGCGTCCAGGTCTGGATTGCTGCTGTTGTTGTTTAGTCGTTCAATCGTGTCCAACTCTTGTGACCCCCATGGACTGTGGCCCATCAGTCTCCTCTGTCCATGGGATTTCCCAGGCAAGGATACTGAAGTGGGTTGCCATTTCCTCCTCCAGGGCATCTTCCTGACCCCAGGGATCGAACCCTTGTCTCCTGCATTGGCAGACACATTCTTTACCACTGAGCCACCCAGGGAAGCCCATCCAGGTCTGAATAGAATATGCAGAACCCAGCCTCATCTGGGATCCAGTCACCTCAGGGGGGATCAAGAGGCCTTGTCAGAGCCCCTCACTCCTGGATGGGCCATCCCCCACTGCCCACAGAGCCCTCTGTGCCCGGAGCCCCTCAATGCCACCTCCTCCTTCCCCCACCCTGCTAGGGAGCCCTGCTCAGTCCTGCTCCAGGAACCTTGGCTTACACCTGCCTGACCCTCCTCAGCCAGGTGGCCTACATCTCCACTCTCCCTGGAGGCAGGAGAGAGGGCTTGTTTGTGAGAGCCGGCCTGGACTGGCTGCTCAGCAGGGAGGAGTCAACCAGATTAGAGAGGCTGCCCCTAATCCGGCCTGCTGGGTTTTACAAGGATCAGAGCCGCTGATAATGAACCTCATTAAGGGGGAGCAGGAGCCTCAATCCGATTTGGGGGTTTTCTCTTTGACATCTTCCTCTGCTCAGATGGCCTCGGCACTGGGCAGAGCAGGTGGGGTGCCAGGCCTGCTCCTCTGCCAGGGCAGCCGGGTGGGGAGGGGTTGACCCTCCCCTCTTCCCTGCTTTGATAGCCCTGGGTCACCTCTTTAGCTGTCTGACCTCGAGAGTGGATGGCGGCTTGGAGCCTCTCTTCCCTCGAGTTCCCTCTCTGTGTCCCCCTCTAGTCATTCCCTGCCTGCTCCGTCCTCCTGGGGCATCTCTGCATCTTCCCCCGCCCCACTGGGCCCTGGTTGACAGGCTGACAGGCCCACAAGAGGGTGAAAGAGGCCCCCTAGGGGGGCCAGTGGCCTCCCCCAGCTGGGCCAAGACCACTTGAGTACACCTGTTCCTCCACCACCTGGTACCTGACGCGATGCCAAGAGCAGAGGATTTCTACCAGCCAGCCCTTACGGCTCCAGTGACCGTATTTTCTAAGACCAAGCTCAGACATTCAGAATTAGGACTAGGCTGGAAAAGCTGATTCTGTGACTACCCACAGTGCCCGACGCAGGGGTTAGGGCCTTACTTGGGGCCACAGGGGGCCCTGGTGGTGGTTGTGGGTCTCCGTCTTCATCTTGGCCCCTGGCAGACGGCCCGAGCAGCTTTCCACCCTGTCTCAGCCCCTCTGATTGATACACAGGGGTGGGCCTCCTCCTGAGCAGGACTGCTGCCTTTCACCTTGATTTCCCCAGGGCTCTCGGAAGCATCAGCATCGATAAACCGGCTTCGCCCACCAGCTGGTCCCCTCCCCCACCCAGGCTGCCAGCCTGGAAGCCCGGGCTTCTGTGATTTGAGCACCGCCCGCCTGTCCTTCCAAGTTGTTTTCTGCACCTTAGGAGAGCTCCCCTGCAGGAGAGGGTCCTCAGAGGACCCCTGCAAAATAAAGGGTCCTCGTTCCAGGGCCTGACAAACTCACCTCTGCCTGGGATGTTCCATACTGACTTCAGAAATGATTTCCTAGAGGAGGGGCAGCTGTGCTGGCTGTTGAACTATGAGTGGGTGTTCCCAAGGAAAGTAAGGAGGAAAAAGGACATCGCAGGCAGAGAGCACGTGCCAACTCCAACAAAGGAAAATCACAAATACAAGAAATTCTAAGCAAAAAGCTTTAAAAGACATTTGAAAATTTTTTCCCAGTGCTGCACTGGGCTAGAAGCTGGGGATAAACAGAGGAGAAAGACGTGGTGCTATGGAGCTTACGTTCTAGAGGAAAAGACAGACAGGTGAGGGGGAAAAAAAGAAGATTGTGGTAAGTGCTCTGCAGGATAGAGAATGGGAGGTGGGTGGGGAGGCTTCTCTGAGAACAGAGGAAGGGAAAACCCAGAAGGGATTCTACGGGCAGGGGTGGAGGGGCTGCTCCATTCAGAAACCACCCCTGGGCTGTGGAGGTCCCAGAGAGGTGGCCCACCTCTCCCCTGGCTCCTCCCCGTAGCCTTGGCACAGGCTGTTCATGGCAGAGGCCGATGTCGCCTCCCCAAGCCTTGGTCTCTGCCCTAGAGGAGAGCGTGGTTATGAGTGGGGTGTGATGGCCTCCAGAGGGTCACTGGAGTGCACAGGGCTCAGTCCCTCTGCTCACCCTCTCTGCCCCTTCCCTTTAGCTGTCATCTGTGCCTATGCAGGGCTGGGCGGGGAGGAAGGGGCCCAGCCAATACCAGTCATGGGTACCAGACAGGGAGGAGGAAGTCTAGAAGTCACCAGGAGAAGGTAAGGGGCCCTCTGTCAACAGGAGGGGTAAAGCTAAGAGCACCAGTCATGGGGGCATTGGCCTTGGGTGTGTTGCGGAAGACTCCACGAGCACCTGCTTCGATTCTAGAGGGAAAGCCACCTGCCTGGGCTGGCAAGTTGCCAGGTGCTTCTTTGGCAAGACTTGCTCATCTCTACACAGAGACAGCAAAAGGCCCTTCCCTGGGGGTGGGCGGACTCTTTGGAAGGAAAGTGGGCCCCAGGGCTGACTGCTAATCCCCTTCCTCCACCATCGCGATGGCGCCCCCTGCCCTCACCAGGGTCTTCCTGGGAGCCTCTGCCACCTCAGAATCACAGCTTGTGGTCTGAGGGGAACGGAATCTCCTCTGTCTCGAATCTGCTCTACCCTGTCTGTATCATGTTCGCAAACCTCAGCACTTCTGATGGTCATAGAGTTTAGCAAATGATGTTAAGAATACTGATCATTTGAGGAAAACTCAGTTGAGATCCCATTTTCGCACCATACATTGAAATAAGTCCCAGGGATGTAAAAACTAACGCATAGGGAAACATAGCTGAATAGTGTTTTTGTTAGCATAAGAACAATGGAAAAAATAACTCAGGTGAGAGTTTGATCTACTTGATAACACCAATTTTTAAAATTAAGTTTAAAATAAAATAAAGCTACATATGAAAAGAACTGGGAAATATGTGCAATAAGAATTACAAAAGGATATGTCTATTGTGAAATAGGGCAACTGGAGAAAGATCAGTTTGTGAGTATTGACGTAAGATGCCCAAGGATACATTTCTGTAAACATAAATATTACTATGTATTACTATCTTCATTAAAATATATATATTTAACAAATATAATTTAATGTAAATGTAGTAAATGTAAATTATTAAATGTAATATATCCATATATACTAATAATGTAATTTATAACATTGTTACATATATATGATAATGCTTAGAAAAAGTCTAGAGCAATATATACCCAAGCTATAACCAGTACAGTTATATCTAGAAAGTGGGGTAGGGTCGACTTAAAACAGGGCTGGGACTAGAGTGAGCAACGGAGGTATATAGGGTACAAAAGTTAAGGAGGCATTTATCTTCAGGGTCCCAGTAGGGCAGGTCAGCCCCTGAGAGTGAGTGCCTCCTTAAATTTGGTGCCCAGGTACCTCCATGGCCTTACCCTAGTCCTGGCTCTGACTTAAATACTCAAGTTTGTTTTTGAATTTTTGCAATAAACATTTTTGAAATGAAAAAACAGCAAGGAAAAGAAATAGAACTAAATGATCTTCAAGATCTATCATAAATAAGAAAAGCACTAAAGCCCTATTAAAAATATTGAACCAAATTATTAAAACCCCTTTTATCTATCCTGTTGGAAAAATGGAAGGGAAGAAAAAAAAGATAGTGGTAGCTAGAGTGGGAGGAAATGAGATGTGTCTGTTATCTATTGCTGTGTAACAAAACCACTCCAAAGCTTAGCAGTTTGAAACAGTAACAGTCATTCATTTTGATCATCAATCTGCACCTTGAACGGAGTTCAGCTGAAAACAGCTCATCTCCGCTCCATGCAGTGGATCTGAGTGTGATCCATCTGGCAAGAGGATGCTAACTGTCCCCCGGAAGCTCAGCTAGACAGTGGGCAGGAGGCCTCCGTTCCTCTCCACATGGAACTCTCCACAGGCTCCTTGGGCTTCCTCACAGCATAGTAGCTGACCTCCAAGAGCAGTCGTCCAACGAGAATAAAGTGGGAGTGCATGGCAGGTTTTTGTGCTGCCCTCAAA